AAAGTTTATTAGTCCCCTATCAGGGAGTGACTTTGGAGAGCCTGTCACACAAGTGAGCTAATATATGGGAGATAGCTTTGAAAACCTATCAAACACTTTACAAATATAAAATGGCATTATTATTTATTACTATTGCTGTTATTTGATAGTTTTCTAGCCAGTCCTGTTTCACTTCTGCTGTATCTAGAAACAGAAAAAAATCCTATTTTCATTTATGAAGAGGGACGCTTTTGAATTGATAGAATTCAGTTAAGGGGAAGAAGAGAAATTAGTTAAGATTTGATTCCAACTAAGCTTGACAGAAATAAGAGGTATGTTTAATGTTGGATTTTTGAATAACTATGCATCATATACCAAAGGAAAAATTGACCCAAGTGGAAGTATAATTCTCTTGAGAAATGTGTTTAGGCAGTGAAGGGATTCCTGGCAATGATTGAGAAATACAGTAATGGGTAACTGCATTTGATTTCTTTTGAGGTTGACTCTGATATGTGTAGTCTTTACATCCTATTAAATTTTTGAAAGATAAACTGATACAAGAATGATTTGCCAAGGCCAGCGACTCTTCTTTTAAAACCTTGGCTCAGCGTATACATTGGAGGGATGTGGGAGTAAGATAAAAGCATTATAAATATGAGGTTAACCGAATTCAAATGGAAGGTTCTCTCCAGTTATTGCATTCCTTAGAAAATAAATACATCGCGCATATGGTTAAGATTGATCAAAAAAGTATTCTGTATGCCAGTGATTACATTCCCATCTGTGATTAAGGTTTTCTGTCGGCATCTGGTTTTCACATTATATTTCTGTAACAAGAATCCTTTATATAGCAGAGTTCACTTTCTGTATTTTTGATCAGCTGCAGCTTGAACTACTGCACGGATCGCAGATTTACACATGTGGTTTTCATTACTTCATACCATTGAGAAAAAGTAATATTTGTTTGGGAATGTATGTTTTCCACAATTTCCATGGCAATACAACATGCTGAGCCTTTTTTTTTTAATAATGCTCTTGTAGAACTACAAATTGTTGAGATGCTCTACTGTGAGTGAAGTATAGCTTTTGAAACCATCCTGAGAGTACACTGTAGTAAGAAGGTTTTACAAATTGGGTGGGAGGAGCAGAGGTCATCCAAGACTCTTATTTTGGATGCAAAGATATGTATCATTTGAACATGGCAGAGTACCTAGAGGACAGGATGAAAATACTCACGTGGGCCTTTTTCATGTTACTTGTTATTGTTTGTGTTACTTTAGACTTTTTTGCCAGTACTAAGGTTCATGCTTTACAAAATCTAATAAAATGAACTCCCTCATCATTCATCTTAATAACATCCAACTGAAATTTCTAAAGAAGCTAATTTTTACATAGATTCATGAAATGGGCTCTTTTGAATACAAAGTGTGCTGGTTGTGGGGCTGGAATCTTGGATTTGGTTTAAATCAGCATAGTATGGTGCTTTCAAACTACCTGTTATTTAAGGGTTTGGGAATATTGTATTTGAGTACCAGTGGGATTCCAGAGAATACAAAATACCCAATTCACATAGGTATTATAAATGAAGACGCAGATGGGAAGTTCAGTGATAAACTCAAAGAGAGTTTCAAGGTAGTAGAAATAAGTCTTTGACCTAATGTACTAAAGTTGTTTTTTTTTTTAGGCTTAAAGCTTGTGCCCTAAATTTTATGATTCTCATTACATCATGATTTCCATTATGTTGGTCAGGTACCAGCTGAATTGGATGACTTCTGAGGTCCCTTCCAGCTTCTAACCCTTTGCAAGCTGAAACTCTTTTAAAACTTGCATAGAAGAGATTGAGTTTTACAGAACACACACACACACACACACACACACACACACACACACACACACACACACATTCTCTCTCTCTCTCTCTCTCTCTCTCTCTCTCTCTCTTTCTCACTCACTGTTAAATGAAGCTGTCAAGAAAACCCCACATAGTCATGAAGAGTAAGACACAACTGAAACTATAACAACAATATGCATATATAGGTATATTTGTGTTTTTGCACACATACACACACATATATATATAATAGAAACCTTATTATATATGGGGGAATGTTCTTGATTTGAGAAGCAGGTTTTAAGGCAAATCTATAATTAGAAAAACATTTTAGTTTACTTCACAGAAAAATATATATATATCTATATAAGCCATACTGAAGTAGGAGTTGTAAGAAAAATACCTTATTTCTGTTGAGAACATGCTGACATATAATTGAAGGTAAGTTTAGATGAAAAACAAGGAATTTTTGGGATTAAAATCATCCTAGAAGTTTAAGGTTGGCATATATCTAATAGATGTTTATAGTTTGAAAGGTCACTGAATGTGATATAGTTATTATTTGGTTTTTAAAAGTAATAGTAATTCTTAGAACTGTACATGGAAGTCGTGCAAGAGATTCTTTGGAGGGGTCATTTTTGAAATTCTGGACATTTTAGTGACTGGCAGTTTTTTAGAAAATTATATTAAAACAACTCATTAAAGAATTTTCAAGCTCTTCCTCCCCCATATGTTTTTAATTTTAAAAGATCAAACTGTGTTTACTCCTAGCTAATTAATTTCTTATTCTAAGAAAATACTCTTATTTAAAATTCAGTAAACCATAGCAGTTGTATTCACTTTGGAGTGATTTTAAATTTTGCCAATGTCAATTTTTATACATATAGCTTGACATACAACATTTAAAAGACTCTAAATATGGGTAAAGAGGTGTGGCTAGTTATTAGTAGGCAGAGAAATTGGCATTTGAAAGGAGCATAGTATTAGGTGCTTCGAATTTGTACTTTCCCTTTTTTGTATATTCTGGGTTGGGGTATTTCTCCCAAACAAAAACAATTAAGCATCATCATTATCAGATTCTTTGAGATAATTTGATGGGCTTGTTGGAGTACAAACCCATTGTGATTGAGAATTTTCTTTTTTCTTCTTGGAATAGTTTTAGCTAAATAAAAGATCCAAATTGTTGTTTCCAATTAAAAACACTAAGTAAGTGTTTCCAAGTCCTCACTGATGATGACCTGTAGTAATTGTTCTTGTAGAAACAGTGATATTTATTACTAATGATACTTCTATTTCATGGGTTTCTGTGGTCAAAAAATGCATCACCTAGTGGCCAATTTACTGGTAATGAGCCTCTCTGAATTAAGTGGGTCTGGTCCAGGAAGAACAAATGCTGCCTGTCCCTGGAACTGTACTCACAGCCTTTCCAGCTTGCTTTAGAACCTTCCAAAGCTTGAATTGAATTATGATTCAGTATGAGAATTGTACTTCTCCCCAAGGACTGTCTGTTTAATCATCAACATAAAGAAAAATAAATACAGTACCTGGCACATTGTAAGCGCTTAATAAATGTTTGGTGTTTGCTTACTAAATGCTCAATTGTATAGCATAGCATGTTAATGATAAGGAATACATAGGGATTTGGTTTGTCTTAGAGGGAAACATCTTTCTGCAAGGATGTGACATATAATGTACCACCAGGGAATAATAATTTTGGAAAATAATAATAGTAGTAATTATGAGGACCAGTGAATAAGTGCATCCCTTCGACTCCATTGACGTAGGGACATTTCAGTGAGGAAACTGCTGAACTAATAATGCATGCGTTCACCTTCTCTGCAATTTTTAGAGAGTTATATGGGGATATGGAGAGGTGGGACAAGTGACCCAGAGTTTCCATGAAGCAGTATGGGGTTAAGAGCAGGACTTGAACCCATTTTTCTGACTCAGGTTACCTTTCTAGCCTCACTTTTCAGGAAAGGCAACTGATGGTCAGAGGGGCTGAGTGACTTGGCCTGTCATGATCAGGCAGCTAATAAGTGTCAAAGCAGACAATGTTTATATGTTTTCCATTTTTCACTGACCAGAAATTTAACATCTATATATTCACTTTTCATTCAGTATTATTATTTGAGTATCTCCTATCTTCATAGGTTCTATCTCAGAGTTAATTCCTCAAGTGATACTCCTACATGGTCATACTGAACAAGGGAAACAAAACTATTTTTTCGGTTGTTGCTTGTTTTTGTTGGTTGAAATAAAAATAAACTGAAGTAGTGAACATAATAGACCTGGCCAGAGAAATGTGTGTGGCATTATAATTCACCATTACTTCTGTGCTAGCCACATTCTTTCAACAAACAAACAAGCAATTTTGTCTGTGACTTCTGTTGTGTAAGGCATGCCTGTGTATTGGTAAATCACTGTTTGATCATTGCTGCTTGTTTTTTAACTTTCTTGGGTAATAGCTATTACAGTTAAACAGTGGCAGCATCATGCTGTGGGAGGAAGCACTGACTTTGGGGGTCTGGAGGACCTGGGTTTAGATCCCAGCACTGTTAGACTGCCTCTGTGACCTTGGGCAAATCAACCTCTCTGGGCCTCAGTTCTTCTGTAAAAGGGAAGATTTGGCCTCGAAGGGTTGCTAGCTGCTCTCTAAATCTATGAACTTGTGATTTTCTAAATCCCAGGCAGTGAAAGAATTGCGATAGCCTCTTTTAAAGCTGCCATCTGTGTGTAAATTTCTGAGAATTAAAATAGAAAGCAGTCACATCTATTACCCAAAGAATGACCTAAAGAAAATGTAAGATTGGAAGGCTTATTTATGATTTAATCCCTTTATTGAAACAGGTAAAGTATAAAGAATTTTCTTAAAGTATATACACTACAGCCCACACCTCTTCAGAAAACCATTGAAGGACCAAAGAGGGAAAGATTGTGTGTCCACTTAATTGTCACACTCTGCCTCAGGCATTGTAAAGAATTAATAAGCAGGCTTTTTGAAAAAAAAATTAATGTAAACAATTTTTTAAAGTGCTCCCATATGTAAAACTGTGCGTAACTTTGTTTTAGAAAGACAGCATTTATCTGATGCTATTTTTTTTAAAATGGCTTAGTGTTTTCATGCATAGAGTGAGTGCTTCAGACTGGATGTGATATGCATTTTTTTTTCCTTTGTTGTTGTCAATAGAAAAGATTGATCTCTGGGCTGGTGAACGTAATATCTGTCCCAGTCAGAAAAGGAGAGGAAATTAGCAGATCGGTTGGTGGAGAATGATATCTGTCAAAAGAAACACTTGGAGAGCACTGAGTTTAGTAATAGGTGACTGCCGGAAAAAAGGGAACTTTGAATTTTGTCAAGGTAAGGAACAGACAAATATTTTGATTTTGCAATATGCATACATCCCAGAAAGTTATTCTTTGCTTTCTTTTCCCCATAAACTGTGACTGTAAAGAATTTTTTTTTTTTACTACATTTTGTCCCTTCTTCCCCTTCCCCTCCCTTATTGCTCCTTTAAATGCATAGTTCGGTTGCCACATTTTTTTTTTCTGTAGTATTTAACTTTTAATAATGGTGGTGTTGGTGGGGGTGGGGTTTTTCTAAAGGGCTGTGTGGTTCTCTAGTGCATCTGTACTGTAGTGGGACCCGTGATAGCTTTGGGTCTGATGATATCAAATGATGAAGTACCAGTTTTTCTTTCTATTTTCCTGTTGGAGTGTTTATTGCCATGTTTCATAATACATCTGCTATGAGCTAAATAACACTTGAGTCGAGTAAAAACTATGCCATGATTTCTGTGTTTATTGTAACTAGTAGATGGTGTTTTCTCAAACAGTTTGTTGTCTAAATAGGGGAAAAACAAAGTGGTTTTCCATTTTAAAAATGTTTTTATTTTCTCAAAATGAACTACATGCGTGGGTGAATGTCATGAACTGTAGGATAACTTGCTAGGCATAGCACTCTCCTAGGAACTATAAGAGGTCCATACACCAGCAGTAGTCTGGGCAGCTGCTTTGGCCAGTGTAAGTAGAAATGAAGGCAAAAAGTACTTGGCAAGAGGCTTCTTTAAAAGTTTTCATGTTTAAAAACAAAATGGGTCCATAGAACTAAGGGGCAGACTCGAGACGGGTCAACATGAGAACCCCTTTCCATGTTTAAAGAATAGTGAAGTTGTACAGAATGACAAAGATGAGTGGAGGGAACTTGCAGTTGGGCAAAGTATGGTGGAAAAGTAAGTACATCTTGGTTGGTGCTTGTCACTAGTGACCAGGAAAGGGATTTAGAAGCTCTGTGTTGAGAAAGCAGGGTAGAAGGAATGTCCCACTGACTCCATTGCCTTTTGAAATAGAAAGCAGGGAATACTGTTTGCCCCCTTTGCTACCAATGGCATTTTGATTTGTGGTCATTATAGCCGCATTTCTTTTTGCTATTTTGCTATTTGTTTTTGTTGTTGCTGTAGGAGAGTGAGTGGTGTGGTGAGAGGGCTGGTTTGGGGTGCTTTTTAATCCCTTCGGAGAAAAGTGAACTTTTATTCTGATGTTAGAATCTTTGGAGGGGGTTCCTTTATTCATGAATTCTGTTGCACAAATGTGCTGGTCACTTACCTTCTGGTCTTTGTGATCTGTTACATAAAATTTGTGGTGTTTTTTTTTAATGGACTACAGTTTTGCTGTTAGATTTTTGGTCTACAAGTTCTAAGAGAAGGTTGTTTGGGAGGTAGGAGGGTTTGGAAAGAACGTTGACCTGGGATTCTTAACATCCACTTTTGAGTCTTGTTGGCTCTTCATTTTACTATTCATGTGGGCAAATTGCTTAAGCCTTAGTTTTTCATCTGTAAAATGGAAATAATATTACTTGTACTCTACCTCACAGGGCTGCTGGCGATCAATTAAGGTAATTAAGAGAAGCTTTGTAAAGTGGTTAATATAAATAAATGGAAAGTATTATAATTAGAAGAAAAGAGACAAAAATGTTTCTTTTAAGGGAAAGAAAAAATCACTAGGGATTACTTACCTAAGTCCTACTACAGGGGAAGCTCTGGATACTAAATGTGTATTTCATATTTTCTTCCTTTCTTCTGTGAACTCTAAGGGCAGCGCTTATTTATGTGCGAAAATACATCCAAGGTGTTAATTAAAAATTAAAAAAGAAAGGGGGTAACAGATGCATAAGTGCACCTTGGATAAATGTGTTGTATTTCTAGAGAGCCATCCTCACTGCCCTCTCCTCTTTCCTTACCCCCTCCCCATCAATATCACCGCTTCATCTGCTCATGTGGTGAACACCTGTGGCCTGCTGGCAGTGAACTTGATTGCAGCATGGGAGATCTTTAATGAAAAGCAAAGATGGATGACAAGAACAGACATCATAATACACGTGGGTTATTTGGTGTATTATGCAAATATTGAATTCCCAGATCCATTTTTTTCCCTAAGGCATCACATATTGATCTCATCTCATTCCCTTCCTCTCCTCCTCTCTGTGCCAGTGATAGTTACTGGAGTGAGTGAGTGTGTGTGTGTGTGTGTGTGTGTGTAGTAATAATCATATCATTAATTGAATTTAAGAACCTCTTCAAAATATCTAAAATAATGTTCTCCTTCATTTACAGTGGTAATTTTTAAAGAGAGAATCTCGCTGTATCTCTTCCCTCTCTCTTTTTCCCTCTACTACCCTCCTCCCACTTTTTCTGTCTTTCTCCTTTCCATTTTTCAGGATTTAGACTTGTTAAACATAAATCCACAGTTCAAACCTATAGACACCCCAAACCCCCCACTTTAGCACATTCTCTTACTCAGACAGTCAGCTAACATTTATTAAGCATCTAATATGTGCCAGTCACTGGGTTAAGCCCTGGGGTACAAAGAAACCCCCAAACTGCCTCTGCTCTGAAGGAGCTCACAGGCTAATGGGGGAGGCAACATACAAATAACTGTTTGTAAACAAATATACACAGTATGAATTGAGGATAATTTCAGAGGGAAGGCACAAGATTAAGGGAGACTGGAACTGTAATTTAGCAGTAGAAAAAAGATAGGAGCTCTATAAATATGGAAACCTGGGGCTGGAGGTTTGAGAATAGCCTGAAGACAGTATAGAAGAAGTTTAGCCAGGATGAAAAATTTCACCCTTTAGCTAGATGCCCAGTTTCCTGTGTAGTGGTCACCAGATAGTGGTAAAGTGGAATATGGGGTCGGGGAGAAGGGTGGGTTGGGGTGGGGGAGAGGGGAAATTGTAGGCGCAAACCCAGCTGCACTCAAACCTTGATGTCATTGAAGCTAGAGTCTGCATATTACTTGGTCCCATTAGGGGACAGGGTTTTTTGTTTTTGTTTTAATTCTACTATAAGAACCTTTATAGATTGGGCCAGGCAGATTTAGAATATGTTTGAGTGGTAACCATTCTGTTGAGCTTCCTTTTGGAGCCAATAAGAAATACTTGGCAGGAATCCAGCTTTTTTAGTCCAAAGAAAAGAAAGCCCATAATCTATACAAAAAACATGGAAAGAAAATAGCAGAGGAAGAAAGAATCATAGAGAAATATGGATTTTTTTAGCCTATTGTCTTAAAATTGCCTGTACATACATATACATACAAATATCTCTCATGTGGCATTCATATGGTATCCATCTGCACACACAGTGTATGTTTTAAGTTAGACGTAATAAAAAAAAGGAATGACATTTTATTTGGGTAACTTTAGATGATAAGGCTGTTCTGCCACAAATATTGATTTCTGTATTAAGGATAGAGGGAAAGTGATTTTCTTCAAGCAAAAGTTCTCTTTTCAGAGAGATTTTGAGTTTTCATATTTTTTTGGTTATATCCTAGGACTCTGGTAGCATTAATGGGCTTTACCCCACATGGAGCTTTGAGCGCCTTGTACCGCTGCACACTGATCCCAGGTCAGTGTGATGCGTGAAATCAATTTATTTGAATCTTTTTGCCTCTATAGGAATTTGGCAGTCTGCCAGTTGTTTTCATTTAATGTTCTTTGTGTTGAACACAGACAAGCAGGCAGGCTTTTGTATTCCTCTCTCTTTGGGTCTCTGTCTCTCTTTCAGCCAATATTTTACTCTGGATTTTCAGATGAAGAAGGGATATATTATAGTTTTCTAATCATTGCTTTCAAGTATGGTTTTTTTTTAAAAAAGCTCTTTACTTCTTGACTGGGTAGTGGCATTTCTGTGCTTTGGGGTGAATTTTAGGAAAATTACTACAAAAGGTGTTTTGGGAATTTAGTTAATGACGATAAGCTTTCCGAAAGAATAAAATGGAGCATATCAAGTTTTAATTACACAGAGTAAATAAAGTATTTTCATTCTGAAAACTGAAAATAGCCAGTCATATGTATTTTGTTTTTAAAGGAAGTATTTTGAGTACTAAAGTCTGTTCATTGTGACTAAATTGCTTTTTTGGGGAAAAAAAAATTGAGGATTTCTAGGGAAGAGGGTGAGGTGGTGTTTAGTATAAAAGATGGTACGGTATAATGGTTAAGAGGGACCATGGTATCATCAGAGACCTTAAAGGCCATTGAGTTAAAACCCTTCATTTTACAGGTGACAACCGAGGAAGGAACACCTGGCTTTGTGATTTTTGACAGGCCCCTGACTCTGAGCTGTAGAAAGAGTTGCAAGATCTGCATTGGTAGAAGGAAGTTCCCATAGCTAGAGCCTTCTGGTACTGAGGAAATCCTAGTTTGGATAAAAGAAATAAATATCAATTAATATTTATCCTAACCAGGGGGAGGGGAGAGAGCAAGGGTACTTTTAAGTTTTGTGAAAACCACTTTCCAAATCATAGAGAAACTTTTTCTCATCTTGATGAAATTGTGAGTTTTAAACATATTTGTTGTACCATTTATAAGCTTATCATCTGCTTATCTACATATTGTCTATATGTTGCATTGATATCTAGCTACATGTGTATGATATGTGTAAGTAGATATAGTTTGGCAGCAAAAAGTCCCATCACTACTAGCCCCTAAAATAGAAAAGCCAAAGAAATTAACGTCTGTCCAGATTCCTATGAGTACTTTTTCTTTTAAATTAGAGAGCTTTATCTATCTACATACTTGTTATTGTTGTTAAATTGTGCCTGACTGACTCCTCATGACCTCATTTGGGGTTTTCTTGGCAAAGACACTGGAGTGGTTTGCCATTTCCTTCTCCAATTCACATACCTATATATAGTATAAAGTTTTTTTACGTATATGTTACATATATAGATACACACATATATATGTGTGTCTATATATCTGTTACATATAGATATATAGAGAGGTTAAGTGACTTGCCCAGGGTCACAGAGCTAGTAATTTAATTAGGATTTGAACCTAGGTCTTCCTGACTCCCAAGTTCA